GTAAATTATTATATATGCCTGAGTGGTTTTGTTTGTTTGTTTATAAAAAGCTTAAGTGGATAGAGAGAAATACTTTTAACTGATGATACATGGAGGGGATTATAATCATTGTAATGAAACAAGGTGTATGATTTGTTGAATGTAAAACTGAGGATATGTCGTGTAAACTTTCACTCAATCCACAATAAAAACCTTAAAAAAAAGATCTGCTCTGATAGCATAGTGGTTATGAATCGGACTACAAACCACAAGGTCAGCAATTCAAAACTACCAGCTAGCTGTTCTGCAGGAGAAAGATGAGGCTTTCTGCTGCCGTAAAGATTTACAGCCTCGGAAACCCTGTACAGGGTCGCTACTGAGTTGGAACCGACTCCACGGCACATAACAACAACAACAAAAACTAGTCATAAACCTAAAATTATATACAATAAGGTACCAAAGAAAGCTTTCCCCTTATTTTAAAATGCCTAGTAGTGTAGTGGTTACGAATCGGGCTGCAAACCTTAAGGTCAGCGGTTCGAAACTACCAGCCGCTCCGCGGGAGAAAGATGAGGTTTTCTACTCCCGTAAAGATTTACACCCTCAGAAACCCTGTACAGGGTCGCTATGGGTCGGAACCGACTCGACGGCACTTAACAACAACAACAACATGTGAAAAGATTAACGGGCACAAGCTATAAACAAAAGAAGTCTCATTTTATCTTAAGTATAGCCCCGTTTTTTTAAATGGTGAGTCAATTTAATCAAATTAGCATTAAAAAATGTATCAGAAGTGGCAACTAAATGCAATGCGAATGAATTCTATCCAGGAGAATAAAAGAACATGCTATTTTTTTAAAAAGGTAATAATTGACCATTGAGAAAATTTGGAAAGTAGATTAACATTAATGTTAAATTTACTGACAACGATAAAATTCCTGTAGTTATCTAAAGAGAATATCTTTCTTCTTGTTGCTGTTATAAAGTACCATCGAGTCAGTCCCAACTCATAGCAACCCTATACAGAGTTCCGAGAAGTGATCACTTCCGAGAAGTGATCAGTGGTTATGAACTGCTGGGCTAGTGGTAAGCAGTCCAGTGCTTATCCTACAGTAAACATAAACAGAGCAGTTAAGGGATCAAGAGCTATAATGTATACAACTTACTCCTAAATGATTCAGAAAAAAACTAGCCTTTATGTGTGAATACACTAATGAGGTAAAATATTCAATAGTTGAATCTAAGTAGATGGTATATGGGCATTTTTGGTATTTTTGTAGTTTTTCTATAGGTTTAAAATTACTTCAAAATAATGAAAAAGTTAAAAAAAAAAAAAAAAGGTCATGTTGTTTTCAGAATACACTAACAAAATCTGGAATGTATTTCTGTATAGCAACCAACATTTATATGCTAAGCAATCAACTAGATAATACAAATATCTATACATTTGTGTTTTAAATTTCTATTATTCACAGACTCCTGGTATGGCATTGTAGTATCAGCACTGAATTGCGAACCATGAAGTCAGCAGTTCAAACCCACCAGTTGCTCCTCAGAAACCCTATTCAGGGTCACTGTGAGTCAGAACAAACTCAATGGCACTCAACAGCAACAATTTACACACACATGTACACACATACATACACACAGGAGACTTTACATAGTTTGTGGAACTTAAAAGATAATGGAATTTAATTTGTTGTATGTAAAACTGATTATTTTTGTGTATGTAAACCTTCATTCAAATCACAATAAAAAGTCTTTAAAATGTAACGTAGTATTTCCATGGAAAACTCAAAATTATATAAAAGACTGGACTTACTGGTCAGATGGGAGCTCTGGTAGCGCATAGTGGGTTATGAGTTGGGCTGCTAACCAAAAGTTCAGCAGTTCGAATCTATCAGTCACTCCGAGGAAGAAAAGATGAGGTTTTCTGTTCCCATAAAGATTTACAGTCTCAGAAACCCTATGCAGGGTTGCTATGAGTCACGACCAACTCCAAAGCACATAACCACCAACCACCACTACTGGTCAGAAAGAAACTGGAGGAAACCAAGACTATGGCCCTCAACCACCCTTTAGGTCTGAAACAGAACTCACCCTCATGGCCCAGTTTTCAGCCAAATAGTAGACAGGTATATTGGGGGGCCAACAACACTAATAAGGTATTCTCACCATGGAATGGTCAATCTTTCAAGATCAAAGGGGCAACATTTACCTAAGGACAAAGTTGAAAAGGGATGGGAAGGCAAGTAGAATAAAAATAATAAACACAGAGAGGAAGTGGGAAACTGTTGTTGCGTGGAGAGGATTGCAGTCATTGAGATGAAACAAAGTGTGTGATTTGCTGAATGTAAAACTGATGATCTGCTCTGTAAACCTTTGTTTATTCACAATAAAGTTTGGTTTGCTTTTTTTAAAGGTAAAAATGTAGATTTAAAAAACAAAGAAGATAATGGAATTTTTCCACAAACTTTTTGTAGCCCCCTCATATATAAAACCTTATTTAATACCTAAAGAGCTAAGTACTACTTTGATCCTGATTCGTCTGATGTAAAAGTGAGGCAAAAGTGAAGTATAGAGCTGCTATTTTGACTTAGGAAGACTGATTTGAGAACCCATAAGCATAGTGGTTACGAATCGGGCTGTGAACCATAAGGTTAGCAGCTCGAAACTACCGGCTGTTCTGCAGGAGAAGATGAAGCTTTCTGCTCCCATGAAGATTTACAGCCTCGGAAACCCTGTACAGGGTCACTATGAGTCGGAACTGACTCCACGGCACATAACAACAACAACATTCGTATTATATTATGCTACACTGTTAGTACATAAAAAGAAATACAAATGACCTCTATAAAATGTCCTTGGTTGGAAAAATTAAACTACTATCTATAACCATATTTTTATACCTTAAAGTTACAGAAACCTTTTTTCCATTTTCTTTGTAATGCTAACTCACTCACTGCCATCGAGGTATTCCCAACTCATAGAGACTCTGCATAGCATTTCCAAGGCTGTAAGTCTTTGGATGTGTGCCGTGGAGTCAGTTCTGACTCACAGGGACCCTAATACAGGGTTTCCCATGCTGTAAATCTTTACGGGCAGCAGAAAGCCTCTTCTTTCTCCCAAGAAACAGCTGGTAGTTTCAAACTGCTAACCTGCGGTTCGCAGCCCAATTCATAACCAGTACGTGAGGGGAACAGGAACAGAAAGCCTTATCGTTTTCCCATGCAGAGACTGGTGAGTTTGAACCGCTAGCTAACCTTTATGATTAGCAGTTTGCTGTTTATACTAGAGTGTTACAAAAGTCAAGGCTGACAGTGATGCTTATAATTACATTAGCTACAAAATAATTCTAAAAGATTAAAAAAAGAGAGAAGAATTTCTTTATTTACATGAAAATGTGCTAACCAATGATTTCGCTTAAGGTTTCATTTAATACTTCAACTTCCAATGAAGCCTCTTTATTCGACCAAACTTTTAACTTCTTCTAAAAAGAACTGGGATAAGATTACTCAGAATTCCTCAATATTATGTAAAATATTCCCTGGATCTCTAAACATGATACCTGAAATTCTATCAACTTTTCAAGTCAAAGGGACCAAAAACCCTTAATAAAGAATCTGCACCATGCCTAAAACCCTGAAACTGCAATAGACTATTAATTACTAAACAGCTCATCTGCCAACTAAGAAGGATGCTGGTAATAGCATATATAAAGCAAAAGGAAATTTTTACATTACCTCTTCTTTAATTTCTTCCTTTTCTTGGACAGGAGGTTTTGGCTCAGGCTTAACTGGTTCCAAAGGTGGAAGATAATTCTTAGTATAGAGACTTTCAAAGAGTTTATCCACAAAACCTGAAGTTTCTAAGAAGAAACAATAACATTTAAATGCTGCACCAAAAAAACAAAACAAAAACACTGTAAAGTTTGACAACACACTTTGGCACTAGTGGAACCAAAACCGAATACACAGTCTTATAGAAGAGAACCCCACTTCTGAGTGTTTTTTAATCCTGGAGCTTGAAAACAAACCAAATTTCCAAGAATAAGAGAGTAAATTAACTACAGAACCATAAAATAGAATACACAGAAAAAATAATTAGTAGTGATGATACCAAATTTCAAACATATAGAGAATAACTTTTTGTATTTACGTAAATACAAAAAAACACATAAATAAACTGAAAGAATAAAAAAGCTGACAAGTGTTTTGGGGGAGTGGGAAGGAGTGATAAAGAACAGATGAGAGAGCTTCATAATTTATTTTTATATTGGTGGAACACAGTAAAATCATTGCTATTCATTAAAATAATTTGAAATATTTTAGAATCAAAATAAGAATGACGAAAAAATATCTTTTGCGCTTTATTTAACTTTTTGTAACTTTTTCAGACTGATTGAAGAGATCATATGAACTTACTAAACATTGAAGTGTCAGAATATATTGTTTCATTACATCTAAATTTAAATAACTTTCTTTGGTCTTACTCTAAAAACAGATATAGCATATGTTAGACCACAACACAGTCTCTGCTTCCACGGCAATAAGAAAGCATCTTAGATAAATGACATTTCTAAATTGCCAAATTCTTTCTCTGTAGAAAATAACTTTCTTAAAAATCTCTTTACACTATTAATTTGTACAGTGAACATTTTTCATGATTATAAAACAGGCCTAGTAACATTATCTGTAACTTTAAGACAAAATTAATCAGGCCTTTTTGAAGTCTTTACATTTAGAAGACTTTCTTCATACATTTCTGTATTTAACTTCTTTTCCAACTAATAAGCATTACTTCTATAATTTTAAAAACCTTATAATCCCAAGGAAAAAATGTATACATAAATATATAATATTAAAAAATATTCAAAATACACTGTTGCTGTTAAGCATCATCAAGTCAGTTCTAACTCATAGCAATCCTGTATATAGTTTCCAAGGCTGTAAATCTTTGTAGGAGCAGAAAGCTTCATCTTTCTCCCACAGAAAAGCAAGTAGGCTTGAACCCTGACCCCTTGGTTCATAGTCCAGTGCTTATCATACAGAGGCACAGCGCTCCTCTCAAAATACATTGTTCTCAAGTGCTGTCAAGTCAGTTTTTACTCATAGCAATCCTATATAGGGTTTCCAAGGAGTTGCTGGTGTGTTTCAACTGCCAACATTGTGGCTAACAGTTAAGTGCTTATCATACAGCATCACAATTTTAAAATGCAAGCATATTATTAAAGAGTATGCTTATCTAATATCACTTCAATATATAAGCAAAGATGCAAATCTAGAGCTACGTCATCCAATAAGGTAGTCACCAGTCACTAGGCTACTCAGATTTAAGTTTAAATTAATTTAAAATTAAATTTAAAATAAGTTCCTCAGTCATATCCAGGTGCTCAGTAAGACATGTGGCCACTGGTATCATATCAGCATAAATATAAAAGCTATCCATCATTACATCTGCTGCAGCACTGCGGATTAATGTGCTAGACTGCAACGTGGGTTTGAACAGTAAGGTCAACAGTTCAAGCTCACCAGCCACTCCCTGGAAACTCTATGCAGGGTCGCTGAGTCAAAACCTATATAAGGCACTTAACAACAACATCATTACAGTAAATTCAAATGGATTGTTCTACTCTAGAAAGACATACAAAAGTAGAGAAGAGCAATTTTAATCTCTACTGACAAATTTTTGACTGCTTTATTTTCTTGTTTTTGAAAATGTATTTTATAATTCTTCCTTATGTATATTGCTTTTGTAACTGAAATAAATAACAGTGTCCACCCCTCTGTACACAGGGTAGATAGGGATGGGCAACTTAGACACTGGATACTTAAAATGAGGGGGCCATAAAGCATGAAGTGACTGGCTTACAAGGTTTCAAGGGGGAGCTTACTTTAATAGTGTGTGGGGAAAGAAAGAGTCCCCAATGAATAGTTTTCATCTTGTCTAGATGGGTCTGGTTAAAAGAGATGGGGATTACGATTCCTATGATTCAATAATGAGTAATTGTTATCATGACTAATTGCGACTCTCACAATTGTAAAGGTAGAAGTTTTGTAACAAAAACAGGGGAGTGCCTCCACACACACAGAGAACAGGAATGGGCAACTTGGACATTGGCTACCCAGAATGGGAGGGCTACAGAGGCAAGAAGTGACTGACTTACAAGCTTTCAAGAGGGAACCTAGATCCAGAGGGCATGCAGCAAGGTAGACTCTCCACTGAGTAGTGTGCATTCTGTCTAGTCGAGGCTGATGAAAGGAGATGTGAATAGGTCTCTTGCAACACAATAGCGAATAATTGTTATCAGGACTGATTGTAAGGGCTGGAAATGTAAAGGTAGACTTTTTGAGGCAAAGGGAAGGAGTGATTAACTCTGCAGTCCAGGAGCGTAGGTCCCTGGGACCATCAAGGGAGAAGAGCAGAGTACGGAACCCTACCCAGAGAAGCAGTGATGCCAGAGATGGACGCAGAAACGATGATGTGGGGAGATGGAGGACCTGGGGACTTTGGGACCGGAGACGAAGAGGGGCTGTGTGTGGACGACCGGGGGGCAGGCTTGTGGGGTATACCCTTTGGTTGGTGGATGATGCATGGAGGGGATTGTAACCATGGCAAGAAAACGATAAGATATATGACAGGATCAATGTGAAGCTAATGTCCTCCCATGTAAACTATCACATAATTCACAATAAGGCATTAAATATCAAAAACAAAACCAGGGGAGTGGTTAATCTTACAGTCCAGAAACAAAGGACCCTAGGAGAGAACAAGCCGAATGAGAGACCTTATCCAAAGAAGCAGTGACACCAGAGATGGTGGCAGAGATGGGGACATGGAGAAAGGGAGTGGCTGAGGACTCTAGATTCATGGGAAGTGAGGGACTAAGAGTTGGCAGCCAGGAGGCAGACTTGTAGAATGTTCCCTTTGGTGGTACAAATTATTATATATACCTGAGTGTTTTAAAAAAAAAGGCTAAAGTGAATAGAGAGAAACACTGGTAACTGATGGTACATAGAGGAGATTATAATCATTGTAATGAAACAAGGTGTATGATTTGTTGAATATAAAACTGATGATCTGCCCTGTCAAACTTTTACTCAATCCTCAATAAAAACCTTAAATTAAAAAAATAAATAAAATAACAGTGTCCAATAAGCATACACTTGCCTCTTAGGTAATTTTAGCATGCTTTATAATTTTGGTTTCAAGTGTTTTCAATGCCACTACATTTCACAGAACTCATCTTCAATGTAAATTGAGCAATGCAAATTAATACATTTAGAAAAGAAAATACAGTACTAGGGGAAACTTCTGTAAGTATTCAAGTTTTTATTTTTTTTTTAATAAAAAAATCTTTAAAATGCATGAAAAAAATATGTCATACTGTTTTAGACTGAGTAGCCACATTACTATCTTTTCTTTCTCAGCAGATATTGGAGTTAAAGGATATCTTCTCATCCCTGATAGCGAGATCAACCAATTGTTGTTGTTGTTGTTGTTAAGTGCCATCCAGTTGGCTCTGACTCATAGCGACCCTGCATAGGGTTTCTAAGGAGCAGTTAGTGGGTTTGAACAGCGAATCTTGTGGCTAGAAGTCCAGTGCTTATCATACAGTGCCACACCAAGACTCCAGATCCATCAATCAATCGGCATGTAATACTCATACCTCATTCACCATATCCATTCAACAGTAATTATCAAACATCTCGTATGTGTCAAGCACTGTAGGTTCCAAATCTCTGTTCTCAACAAGTAGAAAGACAAAGGTGATGGGAGGGAGACAGGTAAGCAAACAAATAAACATGGGGGATTAGCAACATACGCTATGAAAAAAATGAAGGTCAGGAGGAGTAAATAACTACTGTTTATATGATGCTCAGGGGCAATAGTTCAGAGAAAATAAAAGCTGAAGAGAAATATGAAAGAAATTAAAAAGGCAACTATGTTTTAGGCACAGTAAAAGTACAAAGGTCCTTAGTCAGTATTATGTTTTCAAAGAACAGCAAGGGGGTCAAAGTGGCAAAGTAGAACAAGTAAGGTGGAGTGACAGGACATGAGATCAGACAGGCAGCAGGGGACAATTCCAGTAAGCTGTGAAGATCATGGAAAGGCCTTGGTAAGATGGGAAGTTAAATGTAAAAAGAGAAGCGGATCATGCCCTCCTCATCTTTGCTATCAAGAAACAGAGCTAAGAGTGAAAATACAAAAAGACTCATTATCCTAATCAATAGCAAGAATAAGCAGCAGCACTATCTTAAACTCTTACATCTCAACCAACTAGCCTCTATTTTAACCTGCCAAGGATTCAATCACTTAGAAGGCATTTGTTGCCTCTGTACAGAAAAGGAATGAAAGGAAAACGGAAAAATGAAGGAATAGTAGCAATCTGCCAAAATACAGAATACATACACAAATAAACAAACAAACATGCATGCAGAAGAATACCCAAGTATTCGAAAACCCTGACTATTCTCTTTCCTATCTTATAACTTTCAAGATTTTACTATGAATGTAAAATATTTAAATACTTGGCTGAAGGCCTGTAATAATTACCTTTTTGTAAAAAGACATCAAGCTGATCAGCACAAAAGGCTTTCAATTCTTTCTCAGGTTTGTCCTTCTTGACCAGTGCAACAACATAGTTGGCTAAGGCTGAAGGGTCAGCATCACATCTATTTAGACAAAGAGAAAGCAAAACTTTTAAAAATGTATTTTTTAAAAGGTGTAATTGATGAAGTCATCTCTATTTTGGAAAGTCAAAGGTAAAAAACTTTATTTTAAAAGTAATTGCAAAGACAAGTAACCATTACAAACAACATAAAAATACTCAAAGTGAGATTTTTCTTTTCTATTTCTATAAAACAGCCAATTTGGCTCCTATTTCTGAGGCTTAATTATACTAAGAATGTTGGACCAAATCTACATTTATTTGGTCTCTTAATGGTAAAAGTAGTGGCAACTAACCACATAATTCCCGCCTAGGATGTCAATCTAGTAAAAGCAATGTCAAAATAATGCCCTGGGGACCAGGGAGGAAACAATGGAGCAGCTTTCCCTTCTCAAGACTTTTGTTGTTGTTGTTGTTGTCAGGTGCCATCAAGTCAGTACCAACTCATAGCGACCTTATGCACAGCAGAACAAAACACTGCCCGATCCTGGGCCAACATCACTACTGTTTCCATGCTTGAGTCCATCAATGCTGCCACTTGGCCAATCCATCTCGTTGGGGTCTTCCTCTTTTTCTCTGACCCTCCACCTTACCAAAAATGATATCCTTCTCCAGTGACTGGTCCCTCCTGACAATATGCCCAAAGTATGAAAGACGAAGTTTGGCCATTTTGGCCTCCAAGGAGCACTCTGGCTGCACTTCTTCTTTTGGCAGCCCATGGCACTTTAAATATTCTCCTCCGACACCATAACTCAAAACCATCAATTCTTCTACAGTCTTCCTTATTCACTATCCAGCTTTTGCATGCATATGCGGTTATTGAAAATACCATGGCGTGGATCAGGCGCACCTTAGTCCTCAAGCTGACATCTTTGCTCTTCAACACTTTAAAAAGGTCTTGTGCAGAACATTTGCCTAGACTACACTCCCTAAAAGCCCTACCACCCTCACTACTCATCTTTTCAGTAAGTATTTTAAGGATACCTTTTAAAAACTGAGAAACAAAAGAGATTGTACTTTAAATATGGGAAATACTTTAAGCAGCAATAAGAACAAACATATGAAGATGTATAGTTTAGAAACGAAAAGAGTGAGTTTTCTTTACCTATTCCACATTTTCTTTAGTTAGTAGTAGCCTAACCTTGACACTCTAAACCATCTCCTATGCCAGAGCAGCACATGATCCTTGGGTTGCCAGTCTGTCAGACTTAACCTTTATCCATGTAACATAGAATTGAAAGTTTTTATGTTTTATACATATATGTTTTAAATATACATGTGTATTTTTCTATCCTAGATGGCTCCATGAAAGCACATTTAAGTAACACATTCTTTGGGACATAATTACTTCCCTGAAAACAATAGGATATTTGATCAGTAGAGTTCTAATCACATGACAAGGAAAGGGGGTGGAAAAAAATCCCATTTCTATCTCTACTTGGACAGTTCTTATGATGGATACGGATTCTGACATAAAAAAGGGTTTTGCATAAAGATAAATAAGAATGATAGGAAGTGACAATGTTATAGTCTCAGGTGTTACAGAAATATCAAGAAGTGTCATGACCTGACAGGTATAATGCTGGGCTAGAATACGACGTTTCTAATGAAAAACACACAAAACGTTCACACTGCTGGATAAATGGAGCGCATCAAACATACTCAGGTATCTTATACATATAAGAAATGCATTTAGTACTCAAAGGACTCTGAAAAACAAATGTTGAGTTAAGTCTGTTTCTGATAAATATATTTTGATGTGATGGTGTTTTAAAACTCAAGATGAATCGTTACATGAAGATATTTCAACTGAGTAAGTTAAGTGCCAAGAAAAGTGATTACAGATTCTAAATACTTGTTTAATATATGAGAACTGACAGAATACTGTACAAAGCATAGAAACATGTTTATGAATAAAAACATGTTTCAATGTGGTTAGGTGCTGTTGAGGGTTCCGACTCATACCAATCCTATGTACAACAGAAAAAAAATCTGCTTAGCTTTGCACCAGTCTCAAAATTGTTATGTTTGAATCCATTGTTGCAGCCAGTAAGAAGACCCTCAGCCATCTCACTGAGGGTCTTACTCTTTAGACTTTACCAAACATGATTTTTTTTCTAGGGACTAGTCCCTCCTGATAACATGTTCAAATAACATGAGAAGTCTCACCATCCTAGCTTCTAAAGGGCATTCTAACTGCACTTCTTCCAAGACAAATTTGTCTGTTCCTTTGGTAGTCCACGGTACTTCCAATATTCTTAGCCAACATCATAATTTTAATTGCATGTATTCTTCTTCAGTCTTCCTTATCCATTGTCCAGCTTTCATAAGCATATGAGGTGACTAAAAACACTAATGGCTTGGGTGAGGTGGGCCTTAGTTCTCAAAGTGACAGATGTCCATGCTCTTTGACCATTTAAAGAGGTTATTTGCAGATATGACTGCTGGTTCCATGAGCACTGATTATAGATTCAAGTAAAATTAAATCCTTGACAACTTCAATCTTTTCTCCATTTATCATGACATTGTTTAATGCACCAATTGTGAGGATTTTTGTTTTAAGTTGAAGCTCAATCCATACTGAAGGATGTGTTCTTCATCAGTAAGTGTTCTTCACTTTTAGCAGGGAAGGCTATGTCATTTATATTATCACAGGTTGATGATGGAGCCTTCCTTCAATCCAGATGCCACCTTCTTCTTCACATATCCAGCTTCTCAGATTATTAACTCAACATACAGACTGAAAAAATATGGTGAGTGGATACAACCTGACATCACCTTTCCTGATTTTAAGCCATTCAGTATCCGTTTGTTCTGTTTGAATAGGCCTCTTGGTCTATGTACAGGCTCCTCATAAGCACAACTACGTGATCTACAATTACCAGTCTTCACAATGTTATCCAGTTTGTTGTAATCCACACAGCCAAATGCCTTTGCATTGTCAATCAAACACAAGTAAGCATCTTTCTAAGGAGCTCTGGTAGCATAGTTGTTACGAGTTGGGTTGCTACTCTCACAATCAGCAGTTCAAAATTACCAGGGGTTCAGCAGGAGAAAGATGAGGTTTTCTGTTCCTGTAAAGATTTACAGCCTCGCAAACCCCATACATGGTCATTAAGAGTCAAGAGCCGGCTCCCTGCACATAACCACCACCACCACTGCTTCTTTGTTTTCAACTTTTGCATTCCATTCACTAGTAATTATCAAGGCATTCTGGCTGTATACTTGATCAACCTATGACTGAAGAAGTAGGCAGAATCCATCAATTTCTTCTTTATTGGCTTTAATGGTTGGTGTGTAAGTTTGAGTAACAGGAGAATTAACTGGTTTTTCCTTGTAGGTAAACAGGTATTATCCTAACACAGACATCTAGTTTAAGATAGATCTTAAAATTCTCTCTTTGAGGTTGAATGTGATGCCAATTTTCTTCAATTTGTCATTCCTGGCATAGTAAACCATAGGAGTATCTGATTCAAAATAGTCAATACCAGTTTATTTCAGCTCACTAATATCTAAGATAATTGAACTTCATACAATCCATTTCATTTTTGACAATTTTCCTAGATTCATATTCCGTACATTCCAAGTTCCAGCTATTAATGGATGTATACAGTCGGCTCTTCTCATTCTGAGCTGTGCCAAACCAGCAAACGAAGGTCCTGTAAAGTGCTGGTCCATTCATGTCATCAAAGTCCATTCTACTTTGAGGAGGCAGCTCTTCCCCAGAGACGTTCTGAGTGCCTTTCAATTTGAGGATCTCATCTTTCAGCACTATACAGAGCAATGGTCCACTACTATTCATAAAATTTCCAGTGGCTAATCCCTTAAAAGTTGACTACCTACTCCTTCTTCCTAATCTGTTCTTAGTCTGGAAGCTGTGCTGAAACCTATCCACCATGGGTGACCCTGCTGGTAGTTGAAATACTGGAGGCATAGCTTCCAGGATCACAGCAACATGCAAGCTACCACAGTACAATAAACTGACAGATGATTCGTGTGTTTTAAGAAATATGACAGAAAGAATACACAAAGTCACTGATTCAAAAAAAGAACTGATCGATATTCAACCATTTTAGAATGTAGCATATTATCAAAAAACAATGGTACTGTGTGTTCCTGTGAACCTTGAAATGAGAGCCAGAAGAGGAAGAGCTGATTGGTCCAAAGTTTGGGAAGACCTGGGAACCACTGAGCCCATGGACACTGACCTAGCCACTGGGGGCTAGAGTTGAGAGTGAACTATCCAACTGATATGAAGTGGGGGAATGGGCACAAAACTTGCAGATAGTACCTATTTGGCATTGCTTGGATGGTCTGATAATCAAAACTTGACTTGACTAGAGGAAGACCAAAAAATTTGATAGAGGAAGCATGTGTAAATTGCTACAATTTGATGAACTTGACCTTGTCTTACAAATGTAGTAGCACAAAATACCAACTGAGAAGGAAGGAGTCTTCAAATCAAGGATCAAGCATGTTCCCTCAGTACACAAGGTTGATAGGGACAGGCAATCAGACATTGGATACCTAAAATGGCAGGAGAGGGGTGTCCTCTATAAAGACATGAAGTGGCTGGCTTACAAGTTTTCATGAGGGAGTTTAGTTTCAGAGTGAATAGGGGAAGGTAAAATCCCCACTGAATAGTTTCCATCTTGTCTAGATGGGTCAGATGAAAGGAGATGGAGATAGGAGTCTTTTGATTTAATACTAATTGTTATCATTGGAAACCCTATACAGGGTCCAGATGGGGCAGAACCGACTTTA